CCATCCTGTTGATTCTGTGAAGTTGGTTAAAGAACAGTACAAAAAAAGAGCACGTAGATACCTGGTGTAAGCTGTGGAGGATAAGCACTGTGGATTTGCTATCAAAAGGTCCCATGAGGAAACCTAATTTGTTTTACGGAAAATCAGCTTCAAATTGGGTGACTAAAGAGCAAGAAATGCATGTTCCTTTGCAGCTTAGTGATTGGAGTAGTGCTTTCAAGCTGCTCAGGAGGTGAAATCCTAGATTCTTGTGTTGTGGAAGAATTTGAGTAAACAATGACTCTCCTGTGCAACTTTGGAAAAATAACTGGACATAGAGTATAAACAGTGATGCTTGTAATGTAATGTACAAGTAGGCTTAGGAAGAATGGTGAAAATGTAGCTTGTAAACCACTTCCCTAAGGTATTAGCTGATGAAAACATACAGGATGTGGCTTTTAGTGGGCACTGTAAAATTACGCCATAGTTAAACTTATTCTTGTTTTGCTTTCTTATTTGTAATTAGAATTGTTTAATCAGAAAAGTAGTCCATTTAGTCTAGTCTTTTGACTTAGTGATGAAGTAAGATCTTTTGGGAAACTGGTGATGATCAAACTTTACGCTTGTCCATTGAAAGGTGTCTTAAGATTTTAGTGATAGACGATTGTGTAGTTTCTGGGGTGAAGCACTGGAACAGGCTGCCCAAGGAGGCTGTGGATGCCCCATCCCTGGAGGCATTCAAGGCCAGGCTGGATGTGGCTCTGGGCAGCCTGGTCTGGTGGTTGGCAACCCTGCACATAGCAGGGGGGGTTGAAACTGGATGATCATTGTGGTCCTTTTCAACCCAGGCCATCCTACAGTTCTGTGATGTAGAAGCTGAGGGTGACAGACAGCAGTGCCCTTAGCCTCTGGGGTACAGCTGGTAGACCCAGCATGATGTTAGTCACAGTACCCATTGACAGCCCCAGTGAGGAGAGGGGATGGACCAGCCCCAGGGCATTTGCAAGCAGAACACCATACAGATCCAGAGTACAGCAAGTCCCCTTCCTGGGCTGATGAACTGGATAAGCTAGGCCTGTGTGCCATATTTCCTCCTTGACTGAAGGGGAGATCTTCTGGGACACTAGCAAACCTAATTTAACAGCTTTCTCATTTAGGAAATTGTATGTGGTGTATCAGAGTAGCATGACTATTCTGGTTACATAACAGCCTTGCCTGTTGGATAGGAATCCCTGATTCTCTCACACACTATTTTGATGAGAAAGCTTCAGACCTTCCCTTGAAGTCTTGCTTCTCTTATACTGATAAGAAAACCTTTTCTTAATATTTTTTTCTGCAGACCCAGTGGAATCTCTCCAAAATACTAGGTAATTAAGTACGGCAAGTAAAAATTGCACTTTGCTGAACAACCAAGTAAACTGTGGCTAGTTGGCTGTGTTGTAATGTTACAGGGCGTGTAATGTCAGGGCCAGGAGTAGGAAAATGCAGGAAGTGAGTGTTTATGTTATGGTCTTTGTCAGTTCAGAAATGAATCATTTTATATTTTTATCAGTGCCCAAGGCACTGCTGTAGAGGAGGGACATTTTTTGGGTTCAGAGCAGTGAGTTACTGCTTTGCAGTTGGGTATCTGTTGGGATTGCATCAGGTTTACAAGTGATTTTTTTTTTTTTTTTTTTTAATTTTTCTTTTTAAATCTTTGTTCCTGGTGACATCAATATTCTGGCAATAACAAGGGCTAATTCTGGGCTTCTCTCCAGGCTGATGTCTTTGATCAGCTGATGGTCTTGATAGAGCAGAAGCATTCCCTGCAGTACAGAGGGTACTCAGGATTCTTCCAAACATTCCCGTGTTTATGTGTAGTTTATGCTAGCAAAAAAAATGGGACTGTGTGAGAAGGATTGAACTTTCTGTGTTTTCCTGAAAGCACAACCTGACCATGATACTTACACTAAAGGAGGTAGGGAAGATTACCTGTAGTCTATCCTGCTCTGTTAGAAAAGAGACCTTTGGCCAGTTTGTTGGTACGCTGCAGACTGTGCTGCAAGAGGAGGAACACCTGGTACTGACCACAGGAGCCGACTGAAGGCTGCAGATGCTTCCCATGGCTGTGCTGGAGCCAAGAGAGCCTCTTTCATCCAGCAGGCAGAAATTGGTGGATGGACCTTGAGATTATTTGCCCCGTGTTTGCTTTATACCCATAGTCAGTAGCAAGAGCTCAGTGTTGAACCGCAGATTCAGGTGATTTGATGGAGATGTTTGTGTCAAACTGTGCAGAAGCTCTTCTCATGGCAGGAGCAAAGGATCTTTGAGAACCATAGAATAAGTTTAAGTTGGAAAGGACCTTTAAAGGTTAACTAGTCCAACCACACAGCATTGAACAGAAACACCTACGGCTAGATCAGGTTGCTCAGAGGCTCATCCAGCCTAACCTTGAATGTCTCCAGGAACCTGCTAAAGAGTCTGTCTTCTTCTTTCTTAAAGCCCTCCTTCAAGATACTGAAGGGCCCCTCTCGGGTCTTCCTGGAGCCTTCTATTCTCCAGGCTGAACAACCTCAGCTCTCTCAGCCTGTCCTCGTAGGGGTGATGTTCCATCCCTTGGATCATTTTTATGGCCCTTCTCTGGATGCACTACCACAGGTCCATGTCTCTCCTGTACTGAGGACTCCACATCTGGACGCAGAGCTTCAGGTGGGGTCTCACCAGTGCAGAGTAGATGGACAGGATCACCTCCCTCGCCCTGATGACCATGCTTCTTTTGATGCAGCCCAGAGAATCTTGGTTCTTTAGAGAAGCGGTGGCAGTGATTTGGGTCCTGATGGTGTGTTGGCTGTACAGTTGATGTGTTTTTTTATTTCTAATTGTACGTTTAACATGGATGTGGAGAACTTAACATCTCATATACGATACAGATCTTCAGTACTCCCTCCAAGACTTCAGAACAGGCTGTTGAGCGTAAGAGATGCTGCTTTAAGGATAGAGAGTTAATCTTTGAATGAATCGGGCAAATATTGTGCGCTGACATGCTAAGTAGTGAAAGAAAAGCGTAAATCCCATTTGTCACATACAGTTCTACCACGGAGCCTGTGAAAAGGCTGTTGGGACAGTTCTGCCTTGAAGAAACTCTGTGCCCCCTCTTCCAGCATTCAACTCGTCTTGCCACCCTCTCTGAAACTAACCAGCCAACTTCTCATATGCCAGTGTATACAAAGTTAAACTGGAGCGTGCCTGAGCAAGAAATGCAACTCGTTGATGAGTGTCCATAACCACTATTGCGGTTGTGAGTAATAACTGTCCTGATTGTAAACCAGGATTGTAAACCAACTTGATTGCAGTCTTGAATTCTCATCTGCATGCCTTCAGGAAAAGAATACTCTTCATCTAGTGCACCAGGTGTTCTAGAAAACGCTGTGTTGAAGTCAGGGAATAATTAGGCTGAAGAAACTGAACAGCATGTATGAGCTTTCACAGGCAGTTGACAAAAGACAAGTATCTTGTCAGGAGTTAATAAAAAACAAACAAACAAAAACCAACTGTTTTTCCAAAATGGGTCCATCTCTGACCTCTTTGTTCTGTTCGTGACGGCCGACCTAGAAAATTCTTCTAGGGAACAAGCATGAGAGCTGAAGTTCACACTCTACCACAAAACCAAATATTAGGGATTAAAGGATATAAAGTGGCAAAATGCATTTTTTACAGCCTCCCCATTGCTTCTAAAGTGTGTGTCTTTCATAGGTATCATTCTCTTTTACTCTACTTCAAGAATGATGTTGTTGTTGTTGTGCTTTCTCATGCTTTTGCCTGCTTTGTGAGATGCAACTGAAACTATTTAGGTCTCCTTCACCTGTTTTTCAAGATTGAAGAAGTTTCTGTGTGCATAAAAGCTAGTCTTACTACAGTACTGTTTGATTGGAAAAAAAAATCATAGAATCAGAGACTAGAATCTCAAAGTGTATCGGACCCGTAAGAATCAGTTACCTTTTCTTACAAAATGACAGCAGCACTGTAACAATCTCTTTCATAAAATACTCACAGAATCACAGAATCACCCGGGTTGGAAGGGACCCCAAGGATCATGTAGTTCCAACCCCCCTGCCTAGCAGGGCCACCAAACATACACATTCAGATCAGGTTGCCCAGGACCCCGTCCAACCTGGCCTTAAACACGTCCAAGGACGGGGCATCCACAACCTCCCTGGGCAGCCCGTTCCAGGGCCTAACCACTCTCCTAGTAAAGAACTTCCCCCTAACATCCAACCTAAATCTTCCCTCCTTCAACTTAAAACCATTTCCCCTAGTCCTGCTGTTATCAGCCCTTTTGAAGAGTTTACTCCCCTCCTGGGTGTGAGCTTTTAAAAATTTTAGTACTTGAGAAAATTGATCTATTAGAAAATGTTTTCCTATTTTTGAGTCTACTCGTTTCTTAGTATCCTTTCTAATGTGGCATTGTGCTTTGTGTTTCTACTTCCACCTGTGTCCTAGTAATAAAAAATAATTTATCCATTTTTACATTTGTGTGGTTGTCTATAAATTACTGACATTTAATATTTGTAAATGTGGAATTTGAACATTTACTTTTTCTCCCATATAAATGAACACCTATGCAAATTACAAAAGTGTTTTTTAAAAATATACAGTAGGGTTTTATGCACAGTTCTGTCAATATTATAATAATTGGTTTAAGCTCTGTTTTTCCATAAATATTTAAAGGAATGCTAGTTTTCCATAAGTATAAGTACGCACTGAAAAAACTGCCTTGAGTCTGAAAATTGCATTGGCTATCTTGGATGCCTGGAGCTAAGGTTCTGAGGGGCATAAACAACTTTAGGTTGTTCTAAAGTGAAGATGACTTACTTCTTCAGGGTTTGTGAAGATAAATTCTATAAAATATGTGGATGTTGAGTGATGCTTAAGAGGAGGAGGAAGGACGGGGCTAAAAGAAAGAAGTAACAATTAAATTAATTATTAAATTAATTATTCTTTTGGTCTGCTGATCTGTTTACTAATCATTGGTATTTAAATAGGTGGCTGAATCCATTATTTATTATTGGCCACAAACGGAAACTTGAAGAAGATGATATGTACAAAGTACTGCCAGAAGATTCCTCGAAGAAGCTTGGGGAGGACTTACAGTGGTAAGGAGTAAAATCGTTGTTCTATTTCATTGTTTTTCTGCTGATGAATGTGAGGTTTTATTCATGTTCTAAAATTTGAAGAGGTTGTTGTGAAGTTTAACAAGGTCTATTGTAAACAATTCTGGATAGCTAAGAGTAGCATTTACACATTTTACTATGGAGACATTTTCATTTCTTCTCATTATACGTAGTGAGGGTATGTTAGAGTATTACTATTATGCCATTTAAAATTTGTCTGGCACTCTGCAGAATACTTTGGTGAAGAAGACTTTTCATCAGCTGTTATTGTGGTAATCCTTAATAAATTAATGCAGGTCTTTTGGTCTTACTGCTGTAAGACTATGAATAACTATGAAAACTGTTAAAACTGTTAAAACTTCTCTTTATAAAAGTGAGGAAAAATATTTTTGTTGTGTTTCTGGAGAACAGTGATAGCTGTATATGCTTCACATGTGTTTATAAAGAGAATTTTTCTTTTTTCTTCTAATAGTGATGTCTCTCCCTATCATAGAATTACCAAGGTTGGAAAAGACCTCCAAGATCATCCAGTCCAACCATGCACCTATCACCAACATTTCCTACAAAACCATGTCCCTCAATAGAGCATCTAAACGTTTCTTGGACTCAGGAGGTTCACTTGTCCAAGGTTGCTCTGAAATTAAGGCCGTCTCTTTATTTCTATGTAAACTACAACAAATACAAAGAGCACAATAACACTGTTTTGTAGAGCAAATTCTCAGCTACATTACACCATTTTTCAGTAGTCACCATTGTTATCTATGCATTTTTGCCAGCAATGAACAAGACTCTACATGCTACACTCTTAAAAAATGTGCACCAGCGGAGATGACCCACTGTTTCAGAGCTGCTCTGACAGCATAATTGCTAGGAAAATATTGCCCAAGCAGTCCGTCTTTTATCAGACTGAACAGATAAAAGTCAGAAGGTGCCAGATCCAGATTATACAGTGGTTGCTGTGGGACAGTCAGTCCAGCCAGTATTGGCAATGTGCTCAAGTCTTCAGATTGGAATGACACCTGGTGTTACTGTGTTGCAGGATAAAGCTTGTCTTCTTCTCTGATCTGACTCTAGAAGTTTGAGCCTTAGCTTAGTCAGTGTTGTGATTTAGTGGTCAGAAATGATGGTTTTTCTAGGTTCCAGAAAATCCAGAGAAGAATTACTCCTTTCCTATCCCAAAGCATGACACATCACATTACCCACTGAGGACTGTGGCTTGACCTTTTTCTTTGGTGGGGAATTCATATGTGTCCACTCAACGACTGCCATTTTGACTGGGGCTTGTAGGGGTGACACTGTGTCTCATCCCCAGTAATGATGTGATCCAGGAAACTGTCACCCTCAGCCTTGTATGAATTCAGTAGGGCCTGACAAACTTGCGTGCGCTTTTCTTTCTGTTCCTGTGTGAACATTCACGGAACTCACCTGACACAAACTTTGCACTATTCCAGCATTGCTACCAGAATTTCTAACACACTGAAGCCAGTATTCAGCTCCATTTACAGTTCCCTGGTCATCATCCACCAGTTTGTGTGAATGTCACACATTTCATTTCCTGGTGGGACAGCTGTGCATGGCCATCCGGAACATACCTCATCTTTTAAGCTGCTTTTGCCACTGCTGAAGCACACCACCCACTGCTTGGTCTTCACATGTGTTTGATGAATGTTTCAGTAAGTGTCAGTGAATGTCCATGGGTGTTTCCACATGGAGTCATTCAGTGACTTCCCTTTGCTTCTATGCACATCTGTGTCAGATACCATTTTGAAAGGCTGCCCCTCTGCTGCTCTCTGTCGCATGGCAACAACATGGGGTGGTGTATTAGTGGGAAGGTTCAGCTTCTACTGCCCTACCAGCAGGCATTACTTTTGGAGCAGCCCTCAGAAATTGTCTTGAACCTTTCAATAGAGAAAGGTTTTGTATTCATATAATTTTGTTAAATAGAGAAGAGGTCTGTCCCAGTGAAAGGTGATCTCTGAATTAATAAACTGTGGCCTTGTCTTTATGCTGGAGGATGTAAAGCAAATCAACATTCCTAATAGCTTAGTTAGGGCAAGAGGCTCCTTAAGGAGTGAAAGGAATCCAGAAACTGAAGGTTATGGCTTTTATTACCCTGCCATGGCTGAGGAAGGTGAAGAATGAGAGGCAGTGGTAAGCTGGGTTGTGATCTTTGCCAAAGTCCAAGGATGTGTCTTGAAGCTGTTCAGGGAGTGCACTGTAGAGGAAGATGAATGCTTTCCAATGATTCTTACAGTAAAAGCGCACACTTTCCGTGAGTCAGGAAATGGTAGAAAATACAGCATGCCAAATAAAAAAAGGTTCTTTTTATTCCCTAGTGGACTTGGCTCAGAAGCAAAGAATATAATTCATAAATAGCCACTGAAGGTAGAGCTTCTTCTCTTTGGCCAGCAAAAAGAATCTGTCTAGTTTCAGTTCTGATTCTGGAGTATCTATTTAGACAATAACTATAATTCTTTTAATAAAAAAAGAAGGTAAAATGAAGAAGTTATGTTTTCCTATCCGTACTGTATGCTTCAAACTTGTGTGCCGTGTTACAAAATAATAAAATTGGCTTTCATGAGTTAGACTAATTTCAGCCCTCAAACAAGCGAAGTCAGAGGGCCTGGCAAAAAATATTTAGCCTCCAGAAGCAAGGGGGACGTCTTGTCTGACACGTGTATTTTAAATGTCTCCTTAAGTTCCAGTTAATTTCATGTTTGCGTTTAACTGGACAACATCGTTCTTGGTATTACCACCTTTGATTTTAATCTGAGCAGATTGTATCTTGCTTGTGGGTAGAAACGTGGTTAACACAAAGGTCATTGCTACTCAGCTGGTGAAATCCTTCAGAGAGACGTGAGGAGTGCGAAGTGACTGAACTGCTGCTAATGCTTTAAAAAGGCAGATGGTGCCATATCTGTTTGTTTTCATGAAATCATAGGGCAGAGACAAGTGAGGGGCAGATATGAGAGAAGGTCTGATTATAGGAGAATAATCTTGTAATGCTAAGCACAGTATGTAGATGAGAAAACATTACTACCTGTTATCTTCTTAATTTCTTAATGAATGAAGAGTATAAAGGTGATCGTGGCAATCCTGCTGCAAGTCTGAAACTGTTTTACTCCAGGGAATTGCCTTATTGTTTTACTTCTGTCTGCAGCATATTTGTTTTTTGTTTGTCAGGTACTGGGATAAAGAGGTGCAAAAAGCAAAAAAAAGAGGAAAAACACCCCATTTAACTAAAGCAATTATTCTTTGTTACTGGAAATCCTATTTAGTTCTTGGAATTTTCACAATGATTGAGGTAAGTGATATAAAATGTGATGCAGTGTATTTCTTAGCTAGCAGTGATGTGGAATTTGACCTTTGAGGTTGTGTAATACTTAGATGATTTTATGCTGAGTTGTTCAGAGAATCCATACAATCCATGCTGTTCATATGCTCTCTCAGAAAAATAAGACAGAGATGCAGCCCCTTTGAGACTGAAAAACTGAGCTATGGCTGCAGAGTTATGGACTTGGAATAGAGAATGATTCCAGTGCAATACTTCTGAGACATTACAAACTATCTGACTTGCTTTATAGGGCTTAGCTTTATTCTGTGTATCTGAGGGAGATGCCCCACAGAAGTTGTGTTTTTTTTTCCTGATATATGTAAATGGTTGTAAAGGACACACTAAGTTATCCTTGAATATGCAAGTGTAATATATATTCATGTAACTTCTATAACCTCAAAGCTCTTACTGGTAAGTGACAGAGTTCTTTTTAAAAATCTAGCTAAATTTTAATGGGGGTTAAATTATTTTGGAGTACGTTTTTATAAGAATTGGCTTGATGTTTTAGAGAATGAAAAAATAATGTAGGGTATAATTTGTGGCAGTAACTTAGCTTTTTTTGCTTGGACACTGAGATGGGGAGCTTGGTATGATATGAAATTGTTGATGCTTTTTTTCTTTTTCTTTTAGGAAACCCTCAAAATAGTTCAGCCAGTATTTTTGGGAAAAATTATTAGTTATTTTGAAAACTACGATGCCTCAGATGAGGTGGCTTTGAACATTGCATATTGCTACGCAGCTGCTCTGTCTGTGTGCACACTGATTCTAGCTATAATGCACCACTTATACTTCTATCATGTACAGCGGGCTGGCATGAAGCTCAGAGTGGCTATGTGTCATATGATTTATCGGAAGGTAAGCAAAAGTTATGAGTAATATTTGGTGTTCAGTTGCTATTTCATGTGATGTATGGGGTTAAAAATACAGCTCTTTGTTACGCTCTTGCAATGCCACTGAAGTTACTCATTTGTAGAAATGTATTGCACTCTAATAATATACATCATCTCTTAAATGAATCTTTTGCTCTTCCTTGAGTAACACGATGTCTGAATGACCCCTTCAGTCCTCATAGTGAAGGACTTAAAGCTTAGGATGAGCTGCTGGTGTTCACCTGCTGCTGGTGGAAGGGCTTGTTGCTGGAGCAGCAGGAGGTGGTCAGCATCCAGCAGAAGGGCAGAGCTGCTGGTGGATGCTGGGCCCTACCTGCTTCCTGCCTGCAGTCTCTCAGCCCTCCAGTTTCTTCCCCAGGAAGAACTTTGTGTTTGAATGTCACCATGAGCCTCCGCACCCCCGTGCCCGGGAGTTGCTTCACTGTGTGATCTTACCCCCCTGCTGTGATTAATGGCCTGACTCATTTCTGTTTTCTTCCGCAGTGCTTTAGGGACAGTGAATTGCCTGCTTTGCAGGTCAGGGGGATTTCCGGCTGAGAGCATGGGGTTAGTTCAGTGAGATGTGGAGATAGTGCAGTATTGCTGCTGCCCCCTCCAGGCCGCAGGGCCGCTATGAGATGGAAGGTGAATCAGGAGGAGCTGGGGATATCACGTTATGAGATGAGGTTTAGTAACATCAAGTGTGAAATGCTGGCCTTGGGGTGTTCCAGGGAGCAAGTGAGCCAGTTCTGAATGTCTGCTTCCCTCTTCTGGAGGTGCTGAGTGCCTGAGCCACTGAGTCTTTCTCCGCTTCCAAGCTGGTAAAGAAGAGAAAATGCCCTGCACGTCTCACTTTAGCAACCTGCCTGTGGCAGACCTCAGCAAAGAAGTTTGAGTGAAGGATCAGGAGTGCAAATCTTACTTAAAATATAAATAAAACCATGTAACTTTAGCCATAAGTGCCACCCACTACACTTACAATGCTGTGATAGATTATGTGAGGTTTTTAGGGAAAGCAGTAGAAGTGAGGAGAGCAAAAATTCTAAGTGGAGATTCTTTTTCATGTGCGTATTTATTCTTCTCCCTCTTCTGATACCTTGGAAATTGTCCTCTGGGAACTCAATTCTAACAGGGCACAGTGCTTTCTTGTACATAAGCACATCTCTAAGGTATTAATTTACTCAACTGATTATCATAACAGTTTGAAATTCATGAAATATGTATATAGTGATGTTGTTGTTGCAATGCTGATATTAGCTTAGAAGCCTAGAAGCTTGGCAAAAAAGTGTTTATAACGTGCATCCTTATTTCTAGAGATGTGATTAAATGCAAAATTAATCTCCCCTCATCTCATAAATGTTTACTCCTGAGGGTGAAGGCTGAGGTCGCAGTAGAACATTGATAAACCCTGCTAATCAGTTGTCTCCATTATCTGAGGCTTATAGATAGGTCATACTTCCTCTTTATTCCCATAGATGCTTTTGAAAGAATCTGGATGCTGATTTACCTGCAGTTTTGCAGTGATCATTAAGTGCCATAGTAAATAGGACCTTGGATGTGCAAGGATGAGTGGGTTGAGTGGGAGAGCATCCTTAGTACAGAACTTCAGATGGCAATCAAACTTCTTATATTTTGTACCTTTTCTGTTTCTGGGAAAGTTAAAATCTCATCTTATTTGCAAAAAGCCTGTATTCAAGCTCTGAGGTGTTTTGTGATCAGTAAGAAGCACTAGTGATGCACAGGAAAAGAAAAATCTGTCTCGTACCTCAACTTCATGCTTGAAAACCAAAGACTACTTATGGAAGGCTTGGAGGGGAGGAAGACTTTAATCATATAAATTCTTGAAGGTTCAAAATTAAACACTGAAGTGGTTTAACCTGTGAAGTTGTTGAGACAGGAAGCAGACAGAAAGGTGTCAGGAGTTATTTGACTGAATAGTTGTAGTATTCTTCTCTGTAGTCACTTCTTATACCTTCTCTGTGCCCTTGAATTAACAGTTTGGGGCACGGAGAGATTAAAACACTAAGATTGGAGGACAGAAGTCAAGGAATGGTAAAAATACTGAAATTTGGTCTGTACAATTACATCTGAAAAAGAGCAGAGTGTAAACTGAGCTAGTAAGTGTAGAAATGGCCAACTGTGTTCTGGGCTGCATTAAAAAAGGGGTGGCCAGCAGGGAGAGGGAGGTGGATGTCCCCCTCTACTCAGCTCTTGTGAGGCCCCATCTGGAGTACTGCATCCAGGCCTGGGGAACCCAGTACAGGAAGGACATGGAGCTCTTGGAGCGGGTCCAGAGGAGGGCCACTAAGATGATCAGAGGGTTGGAGCACCTCTTCTATGGGGAAAGGTTAAGGGAACTGAGCTTGTTTAGCTTGGAGAAGGCTGCCGGGAGACCTCATTGTGGCCTTCCAGTAGTTAAAGGGAGCATAACAACAGGAGGGGGAACGACTGTTTACAAGGGTGGATAGTGATAGGACAAAGGGGAATGGTTTTAAACTGAGACAGGGGAGGTTTAGGTTAGATATTAGGAGGAAGTTTTTCACACAGAGGGTGGTGACACACTGGAACAGGTTGCCCAAGGAGGCTGTGGATGCCCCATCCCTGGAGGCATTCAAGGCCAGGCTGGATGTGGCTCTGGGCAGCCTGGTCTGGTAGTTGGTGACCCTGCACATAGCAGGGGGGTTGAAACTGGATGAGCATTGTGGTCCTTTTCAACCCAGGCCATTCTATGATTCTGTGATATAACTAGAAACTGTTTTCTTTGAGAAAGGATTTGTGCTGCGAAATAGATCTGTATGGAAAAGTAATAGAATATCCTTGAGCTGAAAATAGAGAATTGGCAAATGTAAAGCCAAATGTAAATTCAATGTACAGTTGCTTTTTAGAAATTGTTAGCTTTAATTATTTTTTTAGTTGTATTTCTTACCTTGAGAGTGAATTTGGAAGCACTATGATCAAAGCAATATTTAAAGCCATAGATGGTGGAAAGGGAAAGTAGATGTGCGCTAAGTAGAAATGCTCAGTGTTTTTGGGGAGTGAACTATTCCTGTTACAGGAAAATGTGTATCACGTTTTGTTTGTTGTTTTATTTGTGCAGCAAAACTGTTTCTTTTTAGCAAGTATAGAAGGAAGCAGAGTCTGTTATCTGCATCTTAGATCTATCTCAGTTTGGATCTCAATGGTAATACTCAGACTGCAGGTTTATAGATAAGATATTTTTGGGGATATTGTTGTAATCACATTCTGTTTTCTACCGATTAATCTATATCAGCCTGCAAAACTATTTGGTATTTACTGCTGTTGTTTTTCATGGCATGTGCTTCTTTTAATGTAATCTAGAAATTTTAGCATTTAACAGGTGTTGTCACCAATGGAAATGTTTACACTTTGTAGAGGGATACTAACTTTGATTTTCAAAGACAGAAGATGGGGTTTGCATTGTTATTAAGGAGTGATAGTATAAAAAGAATGACTTCATTGATTGCATACTGCCAGGAATCTCACAACAAAATTATTTTGATTGTCCAAACATTGCCCTGATTTTAATTTGATCTTCAGGTAGAGTTTTCTATTTTAAGTTTGTAAAGTTGCTTGTAATATGGGTGGGAGAGAAATGTAAATGAAAAGTTAAAAGCTTTTCTGTTTAGCTTTAGTAATTGCTATGTTGGTATTTTCCCATTTCAGAGAAAGTGAAGATAGTGTTTTTTTATGGCACTTGTGTTCTTGCAGTCTTTTCCCTACACTGCTTGTTTTTTCAATAGGCTCACCTTCAGGTTTGGAGTGTTAACCAGCATATTGTCTAACGTTTTAGAATTGTGCCCAGATACTCTCAGGCAAAAGCTTTTGTTCCAGCGTTGTGTATGTGTATTGTGTCTTCTAACTACATGCATTCTGTGCTGTATAAGCTGTGACAAACTGGGACTGCTTTCAATTTTTTTAGGCACTTCGTCTCAGTAATGTAGCTATGGCAAAAACTACCACTGGACAAATAGTAAATCTTCTCTCAAATGATGTGAACAAATTTGATCAGGTAAGAACTATTACAGATCTTTCTGGTGATATGTATTTCTTATGAACATTTCTTCTAGTTGTTTCTTAAATATCACATGGAAAGAAATATTCATAGAGTCATAGAATCGTAGAGTATCCTGAGCTGGAAAGAACCAATAGATATCATTGAACCCAACTCCTGAAAACATTTTTTATTCTCATAAAGCATTCTTTTTGTCTATTTCATACTTTCCTGCTGTTTTCCTAAGCTCAGATGAATGTTGGCACAAGAAAGTCAATGTGGGGATTTATTTGCTTTCTAAAGCTTAGGCACCTCAGTGTAGACTGCTGTGTTCAGGTCTCTGAATCTGGTGCAGAATTGCACCAGGTCTTCTGACTGAATGCCTCAGTACCACTGCAGACAGAGGTGCTTTCTCAATTACATATTATTAGGATTTAATATTTTAGCTAGGACTGAAAGCTGATTTTTGTTTCTTGTCTCTTTGCCTAGGTAACAATTTTCTTGCACTTCTTGTGGGCTGGACCAATTCAAGCTGTAGCAGTAACAGTACTTCTCTGGATGGAAATAGGCCCATCGTGTCTTGCAGGAATGGCAGTACTGATTATTCTTCTGCCTGTACAAACCTGCATTGGGAGGCTTTTTTCTTCTTTAAGGTAAGGTCGCATACATCAGGTTGTAGGTATTTTCTGACCCGAGTTTGAAAATGTGCATACTTCCTTGTCTAAGGGCTGGATGGAGTTAGAGTACTGGGATGAGAACAGCTTCCATTTGGTGAGGATTTCTGCTTTCTCTTTGATCTCTGCCAGTGTTTCTCATAGTTAATAATGCGAGATTTCTGAAGCTCTGTTCATAGGGACTTGAAGTTGTTTTTCCCTTGGAGATGCAGACAGTATCTGGCACTTTTTAGATGTCCAGTGTATTAAAGCCTTGGGCTATTTCTGTAGCTCCCTTGTAGCTCTCCTACATCTACCTTGTAGGTTTTGGGCATAGAGTTGCATAGCAACTTGAGCTTTGCCTTACTTAGCTAATGCTTAGGGGAGAGATTATTACTTGTCATTCTTGCCATAAGTTTGACTTATTGAGATTATAAAGGTGGAGTGGAAAGCTCTGAAAATTTTGTGTTTAAAAATCTTGCTGTCTCTCCTCCAAGATAAAGATGCAGAGAAGAAAAAGGTGAAGGAAATGAGAGAAAAGTAAAGCAAAATTATGACCACTGTTTTGATGCCAACTGTTTCTAGCTCTAAGTTTCTAGGGTTACAGATATATGAAATGGATCTGCAGTAGCTTTCCGCTGTCAGACAAATTTAATTTATTTTTCTGTGACTTCCTCTTAAAAAATGACTTACCTCAGGTGGGAATGTTAAGTTATCTTCAATATTCTGGCTTCCTAATTTTCCTTCTATTGTGTAAAAAATCATGCTCTACTTGCATTTTGATTTTATAAATTACTTTTTCATCTAAATGGAAATACTTTTTTCTGTGTACTTGTACACTTTGTAGGTTACACATCTTTGTTGCACTTCTGTTCAGGGTGAATGGGTTCCTTTTAGCTTTTCAAATAAGCAAAACTTCATTTTTAGCGGATTACTGTAGGGTTATTTTTAAGCTGTATTTTAAGACAGGTTTTCCAAAAGTATTGACTGGCGTTGCCATTGCATGGCTAGATAGGAAGAGAGAGCTGAGAATTACAAAGGTACACCAACTCAGATATACTTCTGCTTGTAATCACTGTGTTAGTCTTCAGTTATTATGCTCATGTGCTATTTCTCAAGTAATGAATCATTCCATGTTCTCTGTCAGCTTCTTAGGTTCTTCATAAGATCTATTTGTAGAATGTATATTCCTAAGTATAAATTTTCACTGCATATGTGCTATGCATTCATATGTGTCAAGCTACTTTCCACTTGATTTGAGTTTTAATGTCAACAATTAAAATACTTAACACCTAAATAGTGCCTTATCCATGGTGTTCGGAGTGCTTTTCCAAAGTGGTAAGCATTATTATTCCCATTTTACAGATGGGAAACTGAGGCACAAAGATTAAGGGACTTGTCCAGGGTCAGACAACAAGGTGACAAAAATCTCTTCTGTAAGGTATGTATTTTAAAGGTTAGCCAGTGGCAATGTAACATTCCTTGGGTTTTTTCCCTATTAATTAAAGGCCACTTTATTGGATGCAGTGCAAGGGAAAGAATTTGTTAACCAGAAGGAGCTTTTGCTCACGTACGTGTGGACATACAAATGCCCAGTGAACAGAAGGAGTTACTGGAAAAACTGAAGTGGATTCCAGCTTTGTAATGATGTGTACGTTCACGTGACAGTTGCTGGAAATCTGCATGGATACAAGGAAATCACCCTATGAATAAGTAATTTCAGAATTTAAGGCTTTTCCACAAACCCAGGCACAGTCCATGTGGCACAGAATTTGTGCCGTTACTCAACGTTGCGTTTTCAACCCAATGTTGTAAATGCATGCACACCAGTTTATTATACAGGTACTTATTCGGTCTTCTTCCGGTGCTTTTACCTGCTAGAGTTCTGAGCGGTGCACAAAGTACACGTGAAATCCTTTATTATTTGAGAAATAGTTCATTTAGTGGACTGAAGACTGTTTAAAATATATTCACAAGAACTGAACCCTTTCAGCGCTTAGCCATGCAACCATAATGTTTCCATTTAGAGCTCTGTGTATGCATTTATTTATTTATTAAAGAATAACATTTGGAACTGTTGTGTCAAACATAACCAGAATCCACTGGACGTGCATCATGAATGTGAAAAGGAGTTCTGTAACTTGCTTAATTTAAAACAAGTATTACTGTAATATTTCTGAGAAGGCTTGAGATCACTGGGAGACCTGATAGCTGCCTTTCAGTTTCTAAAGGAGGACTATAAGAAGGATGGGATCAGACTCCTTAGCAGGGTCTGTTGAGATAGAAGGGGTAATGGATTCAAACTAAAAGAGGGGAGATTTAGATTGGAAGACATTTTTTACACTTAGGATGGTAAGTCACTAGGACAGATTGCCCAGAGAGGTGGTGGATGCCCCATCCCTGGAGACATTCAAGGTCAGGCTGGGTGGGGCTCTGAGCAACCTGGTCCAGCAGTAGGTGACTCTGTTCCTTGCAGGGGAGGCTGGTCTAGATGACCTTTAAAGGTTTCTTCCAACCTTCTATCATCTGGAGGCCAAATCTGGAAGTTACCTTTGAAAGGTAACTGTTTTTGAAAGATTGCACATGAGAATCATTGTTGCTACAGAGAAATGAACAACATGTTGTGTACTTTGCCATGCAGGGGTGAGGCGGAAGGAGAAGGTCTTGCATTTTTTGAGGAAATCTTTTTGTCTCACTGCTTCTTTTTGACAGAGGAAAAAAAGGACTTTGCAAAGATTCTCTCATTCCCTGCTAGTCAGGTTGGTTTAGGCTAAGCAGTCTTTTTCAGTGCTAGTAAGAAGACTTGATTACTTTAGGGCCAGTTTCCTTTCTTCTGTAATAATTTGGTTTAGCCACCTAACTTTTATTGGTCACTGGGAATCCGTAACTGGTAAGTTAGTTTAAAATGATGAGCAGTTACCTGATGTTCTTTCTTCATATCTCCTTTGATTGTGGCTATTCCTTCTAGAAAAATCTTGCAGTGGAGCAGATTAAACTGACATGGTCTTTGCTTTTTTAATATGGTCTCTGAGTTTGTCTTTCATTGATTTTACATATAAAAATATGTTATTTAGCAGAAAAAAAGTGGGGCTCATCAAAATAAAGCCCACCATAAGTAATTATGTGCTATGTATGCTTCTCTACATGAATGAATTCAGAGTTGTAACCTGTTTTATTAGCATGGTTTATGCATTTGTGACATAGCTTCTAACTTTCAATGCTTTTTTCCTAATTGAAACTGTGACTTTATTATTTAATTAGATGCATTTCCTACTTTGTTCATCAATTCAATCATAGTGCCCGACTAGAGTAGGTATGCTTCATTCAGCATTTCTTAAAATCAGCACTTCAATTCTGTTTATTTGCTTAGGAAATTTAGATATGCTTTTGTTTCTCCTAAATTATAGCTCATGCTGTGTTACAAGTCATCTGTACTTCAAGAAGGATTAGCCTTAAAAAGATGCAAATCAAGGCCGGTTTCTTTAACATCAAAACACCATTTGGAAAATAGATTTGAAACATGAAAATGAAATAACTCTTAAGAATGTATGCTTTTCCGGTTTTTTTGTTTGCTCTAATTGTAACACTTAGCATTTTTGTTATTATTTTTAATATGTGAAGCTGTAATTTAAGGAATACAATGTGCTTGGACAAACTGATATACAGTTCTGGACATGAATCAACAGACAGTTCCCTAAGAGTGGGGAATGCCAGGAACATCAACAGAATTATCAAATCTGTTTGCTGTGTGTGAGCTGTAAAATACTGTTTAAGAAAGATCTAATGCAGTTTAATTTGTGTGAATCCTCTGGAAGTAAGAGCACAAACTTAATATGGGTGTATTATAGATAAAAATAGTTTATCTTCTTTAGAAAATCTGATAATTTTTACTTCTATTTACAGGAGCAAGACAGCTGCCTTTACAGATGTCAGGATTAGGACCATGAATGAAGTCATAAGTGGTATGAAGATAATAAAGATGTATGCATGGGAAAAATCATTTGCGGAACTTGTGAGTGGTTTGAGAAGGTAATCCTGAAGAGATGCAGCTTGGTATATGATCTGTATCTGCTTCCATTTTTCACATGTCAATAGGTGCATTATTCTGTGCTTTAAAGTGCTTTTTTTTGAACTTCGTTGGCTTTTTTAGTCTTCGATAGCAAGAGTGAAGGATTGAAAATATATTCTGAGAGGACAGAAATAAAAAATCATTTGATATTTGTAAACTATATATGTATATATTTTTATTTGCTTTTACAGTTGTGCTTAAAAATGGCAACTGATAAATAAAGTAATTGAACAGTTTCATTTTCACAGCCTTCTAAGCTAATAGAATGAGACCAGTAAGCAGACATTTCTCTTGAGAAGTATGTGGTATCTGACTGTCTTAAATGAATGGCATCCTCAGATACTACTCTTCTTCACTTTTTGCCTGTTGAAGGGGTGGAGGACAGAATGATAACAGCTCAGAATTGCTCTGGTTGTGCAGCATTGTTTCTTTGTAGAGATCTGTCAGCATCTGATTAAAACTTAACTCATAAATTTGTTTTTCAACACTACTTGCTATTCTTGACAGGAATTCAGGTGCATGTTTCCTAGCACTTAGTTTTCATGCAGTTTTTCTCCAGCATATCAGTAGAAGGTTATTAACCTGCCATAGATTCTCTGTAACTGTTTTTATTTATCATTATCTATTTATTTGGCATTCCTTTTTCTTTTTTTTTTTAATAGCATTTTTTTTCCCTTCCACATGCAAGTTTTCAAATGCGCTAATGCTCCCCAAGATATTTCTTCCCATACATACTGCAGTACTAAAGAATATAGGATCCCATGCTGACCAAGTGTTCTCAATTGATTGAATGTTTCAGTGTCTTGCATGGAGCCAGAGAGGATATTTCCTTATTGAAAACTTCCTCAGTGGGTGCATTCATATCACAACAGTCAGCACCTCATTAAGATTAGTGGTTTCCTATCCACTGATGGAGTGAAATAAACTCTTCCAGAACCATCTTGAGCCCCCTTTCACTGTGCTGTGAAAAAATTATAAGTTAGAAATTTTAAATTCAGCCCAGTGTTGCCCAGTGTTTCCACAGTGGCCCTGAAAAGTTAAGATGACATCTAAACATCTCTGTTGTTTTTTTTTCCTGTGGCTGTTGGTGTTAGTTTCCCTTGAAATAACTCTCTTCCGTAAGACAGTGTGATATATTATATACAGCCTATGGGTTGATTGTAATTTATCAGATATTTATGGAGAAAAGCACAGAGAACTTGCTAATTATCCACAGATAGTGAGAGGATTATTAGGGATTATTAGAATGTGGGAAAAAAGTTTCATCCAGAAGTAATTAAATTAGGCCCAGTTCCAATAGTTTACGTACAAGCGTTCTTTCACTGTCCTTTGGAGGAGGTCAGAAATTGTGAGCTGTTAAGCTGAGAAAATGTCTTTGAAATGCTTTGAAAGTCTGTCAGTTCAGCCAATTTGGCAAGTATAGTGGGAAAGTTGCTTAACTAGTTTTCCAGGAGTAGATCCTGCATCTTTCTCTTCGTAGGTGAAGACCTAGTGTATTTCAAGCAGTATAATCATGACTTGATTTTCTAATCTTCGCATATAGTTTCAAGTAGAAAGTAATCAAAATGATCAAGTTTTTAACTGAGAATTGCTGGAATATTTGGGAAGATAAGTTAGGAATTGTTTTAATAAAATTCCACATTATTTCAAGCAGATTAAAGTATATATGTGGGGAAGAAGCAAATGATTATGTCTCTTTTGATAAAGAAAACCTCTTCCTTTAACATGAATTTAAGCCTGATGGCAGTGTCATTGTAACTAGTGCAGTAACATTTTGAGCACTGGACTTGAGGACTCATTTAGAAATCAAAACTGAAGCTTAACTGAAATAAGAATTGAAAACAGATGCTTCATCAGCTATTATGTTTCTACAGGGAGACTTCTTGTCTGTGCCATACATCACCTACGGTTTAGCTGAGGGACTATTTGCCAGAACAATTAGCCTTGCAGACCAGTATTCTCTTAATTACAAACAGAACTCCTGGAGCAGAAGAAACCAGGAGCAGGGTCCAAAGTGAGAGGATTTAGACTGAGATCAAAGGAAATACTGCAAACCCCATGATTCAGATTGAGGAACAGCAGCTGATTGATGGTCCACAGATGGACTTTTAAAAGTTATGGAAGTTGCCCTGTTTTTCTGCTTGAGGAGAATGTGTTAATCTTATTAAGAGTTTGTGAATAAACTCAGATTTTTGTGTTGGAAAGATAAGGAGCTGTGTGATGCTTGACCATTACACAGATTTATTTTCCTTTTTCTCTTGTACACCATCCAGAAATAATCAAAGCAGCTTAGAATGGGAATTGAGATGATAGTTTGACCGCAAAAGGAAATAAAAGCACTTCTGTTTTCTGTCTCTGAAAGATTCTTCTTTTTCCTATAGCTATCAAGACACTACATATCTTAACCTTTTATTTTCCTCAATTTGTAAGACTTTTAAATTGTATTTTGCTATTTTCCATGAACCCTGCTTTCTTTACAGTTACTTTTGAGTACAGTTCTTTGCATATGAGTTGGGGTGGAGTAAGGGGAGGAGAAAGGATATGCAAGTATAATCCTGAGAATGGAATCTCCCTCATCCTACTGTTGGGGGCAACTGTGATGGGAAGGGTTGATGTGACTGTTTATGTTTTGCACTTTTAGGAAGGAGATCGCCATGGTTTTGAAAAGCTCCTACCTTCGAGGATTGAACTTGGCCTCTTTCTTTGTGGCAAGCAAAATAACAGTGTTCATGACTTTCATGGCATACGTACTACTTGGCAATGTTATCTCTGCAAGTCGGGTGTTTGTTGCAGTGTCCCTGTATGGCGCAGTCAGGCTGACAGTAACTCTGTTCTTCCCTTCGGCTGTTGAGAGAGTATCCGAGGCAGTGGTTAGCATACGGCGGATCAAGGTACGATTACTGGTGGGAGTAGTTTGGTTTCATTGGTGAAAAAATATTAGATTGGGGTAAATAGAAATGCTGTACATGTAATTATATGGCTTTACCGAGTGTCACTATGCCATTTATTAATGAAGGTACCTAAAAATGTCTTTCTCCATATGCCTGAGGATAATAAAACTTTTCTTGATGAATTTGCTAATTGTACTAAGTCCACATGGAAACTATGTATTAAACAGATAAAATCTGCTCTTCAAAGAAGCATTTTGTGAAGGGTGATGCAAAGTGGAGTTAGAAAAGCATAATGTGTGAAAATCACCACCCAACAAAATTGTAGTCCATAACGTTTCTTATTAGTGTTTAAATTAGGAGGAAAGAAAGAGAAATGCTTGGGATGCTGGGTGTTGCAGTGTCTTTTCAGTGTTTACATGTACCTTGTGTTCAGCTCCCACACTTGAAAGTGCTCTTTCAAGTGATCATTCTAATTATGCAGGTTGAGAAACATGAGTGAAAGTCTAAAAAAGATGCCTTAAGAACAAGACACAAAAGCACTTGAGCAGATAGTGGCAATCTTTTTCTCTCATGTCATCTTTTCCAGTATATCCTACAAGACAAAAGATTTTGCTCTTGACAGCTGGATTTAATTTCTCTGCATTTAGGATTCCATAAGGATACTTTTTCAAAACTAGCTCCAGAATGAAGGTTCACTGGAATGGACAAATAATTGTCCTGATGAATCTTTAGCATCCCTGATGCAGACACAAACTTTTTAGCTTCAATTTCCAAAGCCACAAAGTAAGAGTTAGGCATTCTGCTACTGTATGACAAGATGCTTTGTAACTAAAGATGTGCTACTGAAATGTAAATAAGTGGAAAGGAATTAGGTAGAGAGACTCAGAATACAGGAAAAAAAAAAAAAAAAAAGGATGAGGATGATGGCTATCTGGGCAAAACTGAAAAGAATTGTTTTGCTTTTTAAGAGGTTACTTTCTCCATGAGCTTTATAGAACAAGTGAGTTTTCAGTGCTGATCATAAATATGCTCAGTTGGAGACAAGAAAGCAGGAGATACCATGCTTCAGGTGAAAATAAAGTATAGTTGGATGGGAAGTATTTGCTGTTCCTCTGTATTCATGCATAGAACGTACATACATACATACATACATATGTACATACATAAGAACTGTGTGGCAGAAAGTCTTCCTTTATTTTTTTCTTTTTTTTTTCCCCTTTAAGCTGTCATGTCCCCTCACCTTAGCTATACAGCTGCATCACTCCTTGAAGCTCCTGCTTTTTGATGAAGCGGTGGCTCACACTCCCATTTTGTGAAACAAAGGGAGAACAGTTTTTCAACAAGTTTTCCACAGAGACTGTGGAAGGAGGGTAAAAATTATCTTAGTACAAAAGATGGAGGTTTTTGTTCTCAAGGACATAGTCCTATCTCAAGCTAATGTTTGCTTCTCAGCATCCTGTGGATGCTAGCGGTTTTATTTTTCTCTGCAGGGAAGATTATTAGGTATAAAAGTAACAGAAGAGTGTTTTGAGAGATCTGAAGAAGTCTTTAAGGCTTAAGTTATTCTGCTTTTGAAAACTTTATTCATAGTGTTGATTTTCTGCACCCACCCCCTGCTACGTAAAATTCCTGGTGTTAGCCCTGTAATTTTTTTCTTGTTTTGTACTGCTTTTCTTTAAAATCTTCCATGTGTGCTTACATTTTTTTACTTAAATGGCTGGCAAGCACTTACAGCTGATTTGAATGCTGCTGCTAAAAGAGAAATTCCTGGTAAGAGCTCAAGCAGGAGACTGATTCCTTGCTTATAACCCTCTGATATTTGGGTCGTTATCTAAACACAAATCACATTTCAAAGGTTTTTTTCTTATGTCACATGCTGCAAATATGGATTTAGGTATGTTTGGAATTTCTTTCTGACTTCCACCGTCATCTCCCAGATTCTCTCCCAGACCTGCCCTTTGCACCTGCCTGTCTAAAACCAGACTCAGCAATACTCACCTGGCTGGAGATCTCAGACTTCTACTGACTTTGCACTTTTGCCTTTTGGTGGAGATGTATGTGTGCGTTGAGTTTGGAGACTGCTGCATGAAATGCTTTGACTTCTCACAGCTCTCTTAAAAATGGTGCTGAATTTTCAGCAAGGTCCCTTGCGCTTGCTAACATGTAGAAGTGCTGTTCTCATCCTCAGAGCTGTCTGTCAGCTCTGTTTTGTTTCCTCTTAGTTACTGACTTCTGTAAGTCTTCAGCACCAGTCTCATGTCTGCAGACTGTTAGCTCAGTACTTGTTAGCTACATTTGACATTCCTCAAGGTACTGTCTGCTAGAGACCTATTTAAGGTCTTCATGGTCAGCAACTCAAATCATGATGGTTTTTCTGTGTTTTATCTTAAACTTGTGGTAACTTTTACCTGTGAATTTGCCTTTTTCCTTTCAAAGTGTATTTGAGCTATTTAATATCTAGCATCTAGACAAGGAAAGTGAGAAAGCGGTGGAACAATAAGGTGTTGCAGTTGAGGTTTCATCTCTTCTTCATGGGCAGAGGAAGTCAAACAATTATAAGGTTTGTCAGGACTGACTTTCAAGTTCTGTTTGCTTCAGGAATTTTCTGTTGCCCAGCAGGTTGCTGCTAGGAGTCCCACAGTACTGCTATGCAATGAAATCTGCGCTTCCAAGTGATCTCTGGGATGATCAGCTAGTTAGAGGTGCATTGCTTGAATGAGTTGTGCATTGCTTTTGGAAATACAATTCTTTCATGAGTGTGTGTACTTTGTCCATCAGTGATGTGTTGTATGCTGCTTGCAAAAGCATATTCTTGGGTTTCTTTCCCAGTCTCACATTAGGCAGTATCCTGTTCTTTTCTTTTATTGCAGAACTTCCTGATACTTGATGAGGTCTCACACTTCAAACCACAACTGCAAGATAATAATGAGAATGTCATTCTTCATGTTCAGGATTTGACTTGCTACTGGGATAAGGTAAACTTTTAATAGATGTTAAGAGTATACTTGTGCTGTAGGCTATGTAAGCCTAAAAAGCACAATGTCTATGTCTTGTGTTGGAGACACCTTTTGGCATGTTAGACTAACTCTGTTGAATAGCATTAAACAGTATCAAATGCATCTTAAAAGTACCTATGCTTGAATATTATACTAACTGAAAACCTGTACGTTAATTCTGAAAATGTCTTGTTATTAAACAGGATTATAATGCAGCTTAGATATTCAAATTGGAATTAAGGACAGACAGCACATTAAGGCAGGCCTTAGTGTGTGTGTTTTTGGTTTTTTTGCAGTGAACTGAATGTTGATCAGTGCTTTAGTCTAGAACTAGTACAATATTGTACTTCCCATAGCAGGTTTGAAAGCTTTAGTCTCGTCTACAAGTCTGTTACTCTATGTATTTTAACTGAGAATGTTCAATTACAAATTGTTCTTTACTTAAAATGCATCACACTTGCCAAAATGGTGGTTAATCTATAGGAAATGGTTGCACAGTATTCCCATAAAACACCTTCAGGTTTTTCCTGAGTTATTTATATTATGTAAAGCTGGGTAGCGTGACTGGAATTACTGGTTTCCTTTTGGTTTAAAAAAGAAAACAAAACTCGTAATTTAACTTTTATTTTGATACATAATTGAAATGTGCATGGGAGAAGAACAGTTCTCCCAGAAATTTAAAAGCAGCTTGGAATATTTCTCTCACAATGCAAAGTAATTTTATACATTATTTATACATTTATTATTTATACATTTATATATAATTTTAATTGCTAACTGAAAAGATGGTGAGTTCTGTGAGAGAGGATTTATAAAAGGAATAATAAAAGTATGCTGTACTTTGTCATGTAAGCAACTTAGCTTGCTACCCTTAGTGGGTTTCTCATGACTCTTTGGATCTCTGTGTAACAACTGTACAGCTGAATGATGATTTTTTGTTTGTTTGTTTTTAAGGATTATGAGCCAAAGTAGATACTTAAGGAAAAAAAAAAAACAACAAACAAACCCAAACACAACCCACAAATCCAAAATCACTGGAAGTAAAAAAGGGATTATTAGATAGACTCTTAGGAAAACAACTTAACATGGTGTATTACAGTTTATCAAAAGATAAACAAAACCAATTAATTCACGGTCACACTCTTGTTTTACTGAGGCAAGTCTTATCTGAGTTCCACAGGCTAGTTTGATAGCAGCATGGAACTAGAGTTTCTTCAATATGGTGTTTTTCATGATGTGCCTTTAATTTCTAGAACAGCCTGTCTGCTCTATTGAAAAACTTCAGATTTAAAATTCAAGATTTGAACAGTGGCCAAGTTTGTCCGTTGTCATTGTAGTCACTTAAATGAAGAGCCTAAGCAGCGTAGTACTTCTATACAAAGTATTGTCTCTATAGATGGGATGAATTACTACTTCTGTTTGGATATGGGATATCATGTCTGCCCAAACTCACCTAAGGAGTTGCTCCCAGTGAAGAGATCAGTCCCGTGTCCTTGGACTGTACTGCTTTGTTCTTTGTGCCGTGTGCCAGTGTTAATGGTTGTATGTGGCACCCGACGGTGAGACAGTCCGCAGGGATAAAGCAGTAGAAAATGAATCACTTTTTATGTGATTTGTTCTTTGAAAGCTGAGTCCCATGAACAACCTGTCTACAAAGCTAGGAAAGAAGAAGCAGCAGCAGCAGAAGGAAAGTGACGGGCACAAATGCTTATCAGGGTCCAAGGGAGTTGAGACATTTGGTGGCAATTAGCTATCAGATGAACTTATACCATCAGTCTGTGCTCTAATTTAAAGTGCCACAATGCCTAAAAATAGGGCAAACTGTCTTTAATTATAAATAATGGTGTTTTTCAAAAGTAGCATGCTCTTGAAGTAGTAATAGGATAAGGGGGAATGGTTTTAAACTGAGACAGGGGAGGTTTAGGTTAGATATTAGGAGGAAGTTTTTCACACAGAGGGTGGTGACGCATTGGAACAGGTTGCCCAAGGAGGCTGTGGATGCCCCATCCCTGGAGGCATTCAAGGCCAGGCTGGATGTGGCTCTGGGCAGCCTGGTCTGATGGTTGGTGACCCTGCACATAGCAGGGGGATTGAAACCAGATGATCATTGTGGTCCTTTTCAACCCAGCCATTCTATGATTCTACGATTCTATGAGATGTATGTGGTCATTCTTTTTGCTTGCATTACTAGTTTTGTTAAGGGTCCATGATGTCTTAAATAACACTTAAGTGTCTAATATTTGAATAATTATTTTTAAGATTTTTTTTTTAATTCTTCAATGGATTAGGCTCTTACGATGTTCTGTTTTGAAAACCCGGGCAAGAATCTTTTAGAATTTCAGAATCATGACCTCAGGACCTCTTTACAATCATTGAGAGCTCTGTGGTAGGGCTGGTGTGTGGGAAAGCTTATTTACTTTTCTGTAAAGATTAATGATTTAATAACAGATATTTCCTCATCCTAAAAACTTTGCATTAAAAAAAATGCATTTTCTTTCATAAACTGGTGGGGCTCTCCAGACCTTAACTCCAGTTTAGTACCTGAACTGGGTACTCTGGACCAAGAAATCAAATAACAGAATTGATAAAAGAGCCGTGTTGCTGCCACCTTATGGAGATAAATGATAGCAGCAGAGCTGATTTTGCAGTGTTACAGAGCGCAGGCAACTTTGGATTCTTATGCTGTGACTGATTTAATGCAAAACTCATGGTTGTTGTGTGAGATAGCAAATCTGATTGGGTGTGTGCTACTGGGCTCTAAGGGCTTTCCTGTTTCATCAAGCTGGCCTGAGGAGGCACATGCACGTCAGCCTAGTTCTCCCAGCTGGCACAGATGTGAGTGAATACTTCTCATAAGCTCAACCATGCTTTTCCCAAATCATTTAAAACAGCTAGTTGCAAGCTTCCCCTGTTGGCAGTTCCAGAATTTGGTCACAGGGCAGCTTGATTGCTTTTATATTATTTGCATTTTAGTGTCAGTTGTGCTTAGTACAGTCAAAGATGGATATATGGGTGGGTCCTGTTACAAAGATGCTTTGCTTTAGTTAGAGGGAACTGTTATTAAATACGTGAAGATCCTTTATTTTCATAAGAAATAGGGGAAGTGAAGTGGAGGTGCCACTTGATATGTCAATAATCAGCTGCAGTGCATCGATGGGGATGGATGAGGAGCCAACTGGGAGCTGATGGGTTAAAATTAAAGGTAGTGTATGGCCACTTGACATGATAGTGTTGGGTATTATAACTAGATGGTATGTAAGGCGTTTTCCAACTCTAGCTCCCAGGATGTGGAGAAGGCTGAGATACTCAACAGCTCTTTTGGCTCATTCTTTACCATCAGGCATTGTAGACATGCTGTCCTAGTCTCTTAAGTGAAATTCAGGGATTGGAGAATGAAGAACCACACTCTGTAGGAAAAAGTCATAATCAAGATCATCTGAGGAACCTGAGGGTGCACAAGTTCATGGAGCCTGCTGAGGTGCATCTTGAGGGTATTGGGGAAGCTTATGGATGGAGTTGCTAAGCCACTATTCATCATATTTCAGAAACTGTGGCAGTCTGCACTAACTGGGAAAGGAGAAACATAACCTCATTTTTTTAAAGTGGAACAAAGAAGGGAGACACAGGGAATTACAAGGTAGTTAGTATCACTTCTATGCCCTGCAAGGTCATAGAACAAATCCTACTGTAAACAGTGCTAAGGCTAAGTGCTAAGGAAAACAGGCCATTGATGACAGCGCTGGTGGGTAAGGGAGAAGCAAGTGACGTTAACTACCTGTAGTTGTGTGAAGCCTTTGACATCTATTGACATCATATTGACAACATGACATCTTTGTCAATAAATCTGAGAGATGTGGATTTGATGGATGGACCATTTAGTGTATAAGGAATTGAATAAATTGTTGCACTGAAAGTGTTGTGGTCAATGTTCTGGTGGAGACCATTGATGAGTGTTGTTCCTCAGGGCATTAGACCAATGCTATTGGTCTGTCAACATCTTTGTGGATGACATAGACAGGGGCATTGTGTGTCCCCCTCAGCAGGTGTATGAATGACACCGAACTGTGTGGTGAAGTTGACATGTTGGAGAAAAGGGTTTGCCATCCAGAGAGACAGAGGTGAGCCTGTGTGAACTTCATGAAGTTCAGCAAGGCCATGTGCAAGGTCCTGCACCTTACAGACTGGGTAGAAAATGGATTGGGAAGCAGTCCTGAGGTGATGGAGTTGGGGGTGTTGAAGTAGAACTTAGCGTGAGCTGCCAGTGAGTACTTGTAGTCCTGAGCTGCATCAAAAGTCTGAACATCAGGCGAATGAGTTCTCCCTCTTCTCTGCTCTTGTGAGATTCCATCTGGATTACTCCATTCAGCTCTAGGGCCCAGAGCAGAACGTGGAACTGTTTCTTCTCCTCCAGAGGAGGCCATGAGGATAGTCAGAGGATTTGGAGACCTTTCCTATGACAGACAGGCTAAGAGAACTGGAGTTGTTAGCCTGGAGAAGAGAAAGCTCCAGCAAGACCTCATTGTGGTCTTTCAGTACTTGAAGGGGGCCTACAGGAAAGCTGGGAAAGCGACTGTTTTATCAGCGCAGAAGCAGTCTAGGACGTTTCTGAAGTGTATGGAGGATAACTTTCTGATGCAGCTGGTGAGAGAGCTGATGAGAGGAGCTGCCCCACTTGAAATGCTGTTCACTAACAGAGAAGATCTGGTGGGAGATGTGGAGGTTGGGGGCTGTCTTGGACAAAGTGACCATGAAATGGTATAGTTCTCAATTCTTGGTGGAGCCAGGAGGGGGAATGGCAAAACTGCTACCTTAGACTTCCAGAGAGTGGACTTTGAATTATTTAGAAGGCTAGAAGGGGAATTCCCCTAGGTTTCAGTCTTAGAGAGTAAAGGGGTCCAAGATGGCTGGTCACTCTTTAAGAAGGAAGTCTTAAAGGCTGTCACCCTGAGCCGCAAAATGAGCCGGCGGGGAAGAAGACCGGTGTGGATGAATAGGGAGCTATTCTTGAGGCTCCAGGAGAAAAAGAGAATCTACCACTTGTGGAAGAAGGGACGGGTGACACAGAAAGGGTACGGAGAAGTTGTTAAGATGTGTAGAGAGAAAATCAGAAAGTCAAAAGCCCAGCTTGAATTCAACCTGGCTGCTGGGGTTAGAGGACTAAGGAGAATCTCCATTCTTTACTGGATGAGGCTGGGAATGTGACCACTGAGGATAAGGAAAAGGCAGAGGTTCTGAATGCCTTCTTTACGTCTGTCTTTAAAGGTCACACCAGTTATCCTCAGGGTACTCTGCTCTCTAACCTGGTAGTCTCGACTGGAGTGCAGACAGAACCCCCTGCGATTCTGGAGAATGCAGTCAGAGACCTACTACTCCAACTGGACTGCTGCAAGTCCATGGGGCCAGATGGGATTCATACAAGAGTGCTGAGGGAACTGGCAGAGGTGGTAGCCGAGCCGCTCACCATTATCTATCAGCACTCTTTGTTGACTGGTGAGGTCCCAGAAGACTGGAGGCTTGCCGATGTGACTCCCATCTACAAAAAGGGTTGTAAGGAGGATCTGGGAAGCTACAGGCCTGTTAGCCTGACCTCGGTGCCAGGGAAGGTTATGGAGCAGATTGTCTTGAGGGAGATCACGCAGCATGTGCAGGACAACTGGGGGATCAGGGCTAGCCAGCACGGGTTCGTGAAGGGCAGGTCCTGCTTGACCAACCTGATCTCCTTCTATGACCAAGTGACCTATCTGGTGGATGAGGGAAAAGCTGTTGATGTAGTCTATCTAGACTTCAGCAAGGCCTTTGACACTGTCTCCCACAGTATTCTCCTGCAGAAGCTGGCAGCCCGTATTTTGGACGGGTACGCTCTTGGATGGATAAGGAACTGGCTGGAAGGCCGGGCCCAGAGAGTGGTGGTGAATGGAGCTAAATCCAGCTGGCAACCGGTCACGAGTGGTTTTCCCCAGGGGTTGGTGCTGGGTCTGTCCTCTTCAATATCTTTATTAATGACCTGGATGAGGGCATTGAGTGCATCCTCAGAAAGTTTGCGGATGGCACCAAGTGGCTGGAAGTGTCTATCTGCCCGGGGTAGCAAGGCTCTACAGAGGGATCTGGACAGGCTGGATGGCTGGGCTGAAGCCAATGGGATGAGTTTCAACAAGGCCAAATGCCGGGTCCTGCATTTTGGCCACAACAACCCCAGGCAACGCTACAGGCGTGGGGCAGAGTGGCTGGAGGACTGCGTAGAGAAAATGAACCTGGGGGTATTGATGGATGCTCAGCTGAACGTGAGCCAGCAGTGCGCCCAGGTGGCCAAGAAGGCCAATGGCATCCTGGTTTGCATCAGGAACAGTATTGCCAGCAGGAACGGGGAAGTGATTGTCCCCCTGTACTCAGCTCTGGTGAGGCTGCACCTCAGGTATTGTGTCCAGTTTTGGGTCCCTCACTGCAAGGAAGACATTGAGGCCCTGGAGCAGGTTCAAAGAAGGACAACAGAGCTGGTTAGGGGTCTGGAACACAGGCCATATGAGAGGCTGAAGGAGCTGGGATTGTTTAGTCTGAGGAATGCTCAGGGGAGACCTCATTGCTCTCTTACTTCTTATAACTCTTTAATACTACCTGAAGGGAGGTTGTAATGAGCTGTGGGTTGGCTTCTTCTCTCGTGTAACTAGTGATAGAACTAGAGGGAATGGCTTCAAACTGTGCCAGGAGAGATTTAGGCTGGACGTTAGGAAATACTACTTTTCTGAAAGAGTGATCAGGCACTGGAATGGGCTGCCCAGGGAGGTGGTGGAGTCACTGACCCTGGAGGTGTTCAAGGAACATTTGGATTTTGTGTTGAGGGACGTGGTTTAGTGAGTACTACTGGTGATCAATGGATGGTTGAACTGGATGACCTTGAAGGTCTTTTCCAACCTTGGTGATTCTGTGATCAGGGAGTACAGTGATAGGACAAGGCAGAATGGCTAGAAACTAAAAGTAGATTTAGACTAGGAAGAAATTCTTCACATTGAGGGTGGAACAGGCTGCCCAGAAAAGCTGTGGATGCCACATCCTTAGAGGCATTCAAAGTCCAGTTGGATAGGACCCTGGGCAGCTTGATCTGGTGGGTGGCAGCCCTGCCCATGGCAGGGATGTTGGATCTGGCTGATATTTCAGCCTCCTTCCAACCCAATACGTCCTATTATTCTGTGATTTTTACAATTATACATTGGTAAAAATGGTGCAATATATTAGCTCTTACCAGTAGTGTGACATAAAGAATGGGTGTACTATTGAACAAAGAATTCCAGGTCACGTATTTTTACTCAAATAGCCCACATCACTGTCTGCCAAAGGCTTCCAAGTTGCATGAGATAAAGCTGTGTAAAAGCAAACAGTACTCTTCTGTTTTGACTTTTGATAGTCAGGCCTTGGTGAGAGCAAGCACAGTCTTAGCTTCCCGGGTTTTGAGAAAGCTTCAGACCCTCTCTCTTAAAACGTATGCCTGTCTGTGTGGTGAAGCCGAATGTGCAGGGCTGGAGCTGTGAATGCTATGGAGATGGCCAGCCAAGACCTCCTGTTTTCAAGACTATTGTCTCAACTCTGTGCTGAGCAACAGCCTGGAGAGGTGGGCTGGGAAGAAGTGGTGTTGCTGCTGCTATTGCCTTTAGATTCCTCGTTCCCTGAATGCAATTTTGTGTGTTAGTAATTTTGGATTAGAGATTGGTGACTGTCAGAGGTGTTTGTGAATTACTGAAGAGGCAAACCACGTCTTAAAATATGGTTGTCATACGGTTTGCTAACTTATGGTCATTTACATGCATTATCCTCTGTTTCTAAGAGCTGTTTTGATGATATATATTTCATGACTGATGAAGTGTGACTTTTTCTTATATCCATAGAGTTTAGAAAGCCCAGCACTCCAACAGCTTTCATTTACCGTCAGACAAGGGGAATTACTGGCTGTGATCGGTCCTGTGGGAGCTGGAAAAGTAAGTCCATTCTGTGAGGATTTTTAGTCTGTTAACATGGCTAAAAGCTTCCAATTGTAAAGATCTTTTGTGTATAATAGTATGCATAACATCAGGGTGCTGTCATTCAAGAAAGGCAGATGTCCTGTGGGTGGGGAGGAAAGCGTTCAAAGTTGGACCATACTTTGCATTTTGCTTCTAGACTGCATGCAAAGGGTACTTGTGCATTTAGACTAACAGTACTTTGGGTGGCAGAGTGAAATAGGTCACCATGCCAAAAAAACACTACTCAAACTCAGTGATGTTTTGAATGCAATCAGACTTCTGAATTGTTATTTTATGATGTTTTTCAGTCTTCACTCCTAAGCGCTGTGCTTGGTGAGCTACCTAAGGAGAAAGGTTTGATAAATGTTTCTGGAAGAATTGCCTATGTTTCTCAGCAGCCATGGGTGTTTTCTGGTACTGTTAGAAGTAACATACTGTTTGACAAGGAGTATGAGAGAGAGAAGTATGAAAAAGTTTTAAAAGTCTGTGCTCTCAAAAAGGTATGCTTTTCTTTTTGTGTGTTTTACTTTCAGCATTAATCTTAATGTTCTTGCAGGCTGGCGTTACGTGCTGCATTATATAATATATAGAATTGATTTTTATTTGTACTGTGAGAAATAAATTCTTAATAGAGATGCAGGCATTATTTCTGACATCCACGTGTAAGGACATTCATATAATTCCTAAAACTTTCACTAGAGGGAGATGTGGTTTATGTAAAGCTCAAACAAATTTGGAAGAAAGCTGTTCACAGATGTTTAATTTCATGAACATGCTCATCAGTATTACAGTAGGTATGTGCATAGATTTAACAAAATGTGAAAAAACAAATGACTGAACTAGCACTTTTTGTGACTTTTATTTTATAAATATCCTTTATGCTTAAAAAAAAAAAAAGTAGATATCATTTATTATGCATTGGTAAAGCTATCAAGGAACCTTTGTGGTATATATTGGATAACTTGCCGAGCCCAAGTAGTTTTATGAAAAAATATTTTTGAAAGGTCTGTGTGTAAAGGAGTTTGTGACATGAGATATAGGAGAGGATTAAGCCAGATTTGTCAAGAAACAGACATTTTGCTTGGCAGCTAAAAAGGTTTTATGCAGCATGTTATGATATTCCTGTCAGCAGCAACACAGGTGAAAAGCAGATGGTTGCTGTGATGAAATTTTTTTGCAAGGCTTTTACACATAGTGGGTTGAGTTTTAATATCTTCTGCTGATACTCAGTCATAGGCTGTTGTCTAAACTTAAGGTTTCATTGACTTAAAAAGATGGCAGACTGTGTTTAAAAAAATCCACAGTATTTGATAGTAGATACGTTTTCATTGTTCTGTTTCAAATGCATGTATCTTATTAAAGCTTTGAATATGTTTTATAGCTTAGGAAAAAACTTACGTATTCATTTGAGAAAATACAGTATTATGAGATGGAACACTGCATTTTATTCTAACTTAATAGTCTACAGTCCTAGAACTTAACCAATTTTTTGTACTGAATGGTGTGGTTGTTTCTTTTTAATAAACTGTAGTGCAAATAAAACAAATGTAATTCTTAGAGACAATGATAATGGAAAATAATCTACTGATAGAAGCTAGTTTTATTTATTGTGACAGTTCATTTTGTTAAATAATTAATTATTATGCTTAATTTTTATTTTAGACTGGTCTGAATCACCAACAATATTCCATATAACAATAAGAATGGTTGTGTGCTTTCCTTTGGCAAACCTTGTTGTAAAAACAAATCTTTAAGACCTCACCTATTTTTCCTGCTTTCTTAATAATCTTTTGCTGAAGGTACAAACTAAGAAATTAATAGTAGATATTTCACCCAGTATGGTCCTTGTTTTTTTTATGTAAGGTAATACATTACACAATACTATTGAAATAGGAGAATGTTATCTTGAAATAGGCTTACTTTTGAGGTTCGGATGATTAATTTTAATTGCTTTCTGCCTGTTCTTTATGTTCACAGGACTTGGACTTACTAGCAAACGGTGACCTAACAGTTATAGGAGATCGTGGAGCTACGCTGAGTGGGGGACAGAAGGCCCGTGTAAATCTGGCCAGGTTAGTATTTTTGTTGTTTCTAAAATGTATATGTTGACAGACATTAGTAACTGAAAGTAAATGAAAGTAAAACTTTGTGACGCTGGCTTTTCTTTAAACCTTATAGAGCTGTATATCAAGATGCAGATATCTATCTTTTGGACGATCCACTGAGTGCAGTAGATTCTGAAGTTGGAAGACATTTGTTTGAAAAGTAGGTTATTGCTATATTTTTATTTAAAATACAGTTGTTGTCTTTCAGTTTCCTATAGAGAAACTTGAAAAAGCACTTTTGGATAGATGGTTCACAACGTTTAATGCATTCACTTTCTGCATTTATTTTTCTTCTCTTTTACACATTTGGAAGAGCTGTGAATCTTTTCTGCCTTTTTTTTCTTTATTTTTAAAAGCTTTGGAATACTCTGGTTTGAAGATATTAGAATCATTCCTAAGGGAATCTGTTTGCTTGAGGAGCATGACAGATTTTACATCAGTATTGATCAGTGCTGGGTTTTATGAATATTAGTACCAAGTGAAGAACAATGTGGGCTGGGATCTTCAATCTCTCTTAGTTTTTATTGCAGCTTTATTTGCAGAGTAATTTATTAGCAGCTTTATTGGATTGATAGACACTCCAAGCAGCTGAAGAAAAGGCCAGAACTCTTACAGTCTTGAGTAGTTGAAATTTCTCTTTGAAGAAACAGGGAACGATAGTGTGCAGACCAGACTGTGGAGAGCAAAAGTAGAGAAGAGAATGTATAAGCTTAACATGAAAAAGAAGAGAGATTAGACCTTCCCCTATTTCTGAAGAGATGGGAAAGTCTTCATTAAAAATCAGGTTCCCTTCTCAATGAGCTTTCTCTTCTCTGTCTCTCTTCTTTCAGTCTGCCTAATCTACAGCACATTGATACTGTAAGAATAATTCATTTTTTTTCCAGCCAGTGTTTTATCCTTGTTTCTTCATAGCCTACTTCTCTCCCTGTCAAACAGAATTTATTAGAAGTGTAAGGAAAAGCTTCCACTGATTGAGTTCACTTGGCTTTAGTCAAAGCCTAAGCGAAAGCATTTTCCAAAGCATATGTACCTCCCTTGAATTCCACACTCAAACTACTTAAATTTGCTTGTACTTTTGTTCCCTCCTTCCCACCCCTAGGCAATTGTAGAAACTTGTATTGAAGAAATGATCACAGAATTTCCATTGACCAACAATATACGCATGTTCTTTTTTACCAAATGAGGAAGCTTTTAGCATCCAAATTTGAAAACTGTACGTCCCATTTATGTTGATGGTTTTGAATTTAGAGATGCCTTTAAAACCTCGTCATCGATTTCTTGAAATGGTTACATTTTCTTTCTGTGAACTGGTATGAAGTTAGAGTTTTATGATAGACTTCATATTTGTTATTGTATGCATGTTCATTTTCACCTGCTATAACTGATACATGGTCTTCACTAATTCTGTAGCTTATGTACCCTGTAAAATTCTTTCTAACACCTGTTGCAGCAGCTATCTAAGATTTACCCACTACTTCTCTGTTTTTGCACAAGATCACTTGACAGCTTCAGCTTCTGAATGTGTCTGTGCCTTAGTTTGGAAAGCACACATGCCTATGTTGTCAGTGTTTCTCTTTTTTTAGGTCTGAAGGTTTATTCGCTGAGGGGAAAACAGAGAAATATAGTAGTGCCTTGGGTGGAAGTTTGAGTTGCCTCTTTGATTTATTCTGTGTTCTATGAGGGCTCTGACATATATGTTGCTGCAGAACTAGAAATCTGGATTTTTGTATATGCTCTGCTAGCACTATGTAAGTTTTGCTGATAACTGGAGGTGAGAAGATGTAAGGAGATGACCTCAGAGAATGTGAAACTTGGAAAACTGGCTGTGGTTCTTCCTAGCAGCATGAATTTTCATTTACCTCTTCCTCTTGAGCTCTAGATTAATTTGAGCTAGGTAGATAAGTACAATAAAACTGTTTTGTGGGGAGAACAGTCTGTGTGGAGTAGTAGTGGCAAAGAAAACCGAAATGTGTCTCTTCTAAAGATGTTAAATGAGGGCTTTTTTAGATCAGAACCTGGATTCTGAGGCCCCCATGCGAGCTGTAAAAGGTGCTGGGTCAGCTGGGAGAGTTCAGCAGCTTTCAGTGAATAACAAGTCTGTGCTTGTTTCTTAGTGCTTCCTGAACAGTGCTAGAAATGTAAAGAAGAGAGCGCTTGAGCAAGAATGATTTCTTAGAACATGGTGCTGAGGAATGTCTGAGATACCACTTCATACAAACTGCCCCCAGGAATCCAAACCACAAGGCGTAAAACAATGGGCTAGATGGAAGAAATAGGGGCTTATTTAATTTGACTCTGAAATGGATATTGTTCAGTTCACTCGCTCAGTTTTTTTTTTTTCTTTTTCCTTTGTAATTTTATATTAAAGTTTAAATTTTTTTAGAAGTGCCTATTCTTTTTGTTTACATCTAAAGATAGGTATGTTCCTAGTAATTCCCTGAAGCTGTAGAGGGCTGATTCATTGCATTTGTTGCTTCTCTCTGTTCTGTTCAGCTGCCGTGGTAAACAGCTTAAAATATATAAATTCTTTTCAAATGAGAAAGAATGCGAAGTAGCACAGCTCCAGTGGGAAAATAGTCCCTAATATTAATGAGGGCTTGTGTCTCTTAAATTTTTTTCTGCAGTGCAGACAAGTTGTTCCGTGGATGATGGAGCAGATACAGTCAGTTTTACAGTGGATTTCTCTCTCCCGATCAGATTCCTTGAGGCCTAATAAGATATAAATTGGATATTCCCCTATTTTTGTGCTGTTTGTGTTGTTTTTTTCTGCTGAGTTCTCTGATAATTGCCAGTGGACCAGCATCAACCTTTTCATAAAAGGAGGCACTGGTATATTCTGTATTTTTGTTCATCTGTGTGCGTATACACATATATACATACATAAATATGCATATATAGATGTATGTTATTTATATATACTATACATATGGTATCTTTTCACTAAGGGAACTTAGAGAATTTTAGACCTCTGGATTTTCCACCAGGTTTGAAATGAGCGGCATACATTGCAGATGGTGTGACATGTATCTTTGTATGACAAAGTTTGGAATAGACTTTTGTGCTCTAAGAAAGTAATTCAGTCGTACTTGGGCCCCGAGAGATTTCCTGGTCTGCCTGTGCATCTTTGTAAACATATTTCAGTAATTGTATGGTTTCACATCTCCTTTCAACAGAAATTGTGTCCTATTGACGATGCTGAGTTAAGGTATTTTAAGGGTCAGGTTTATATTACTGTACTGAGACAGACAGACTTCTCTAGGTGTTGTTCTTCCCTTGTATCCTTTCTAATGATAGGAGCTGTGTGCTGATCTCAGTTGATGATCGGCCTGATTTCTTTCAGTTCCTCCTTTGTACATGTGGGAGTAGCTTACAGGACAGTTTGAGAATCTTTGGAAATCACACCTAACATTATGATGATGTTTGGCAATAGTAGGTACAGGTGTATCGTTCCTTCTATCAAAGGGAGTTCTGCAGATTGTTTTGAGTTTATGCTCAAGGTGTTTTGAATGTAATGGTCACTTGTCTGTTCTTTCTGAATTTTGCCTATAGAATTAGAAAAAATTTGCAAAAGAAATCCTTGCATCTATCACAGTAATAACAATGAAACTTCAGCGTGTATTCAGGTGTTGGTACCAGGGGATGACAGCTTCCAGTAGGAACTCAGGTGATTTGTGGCATGTAGCTGGACAGTGGGTCTCTGAATAACTAACTGTAGGTGGAAGCTGACCAGAGAGTCAACTGGCAACTTGGCCAGGTGTTCTGAAAGATACCGTTTCTCCTTTGCCATCTCATACAACTGAGAGTTGCTCTGCAAGAGAGGAAAAAGAGCAGGCATGATTTGTAGCAAATCATTTTGTAATGGCAGAAAAAGGTAAAGAAATGGTAAGCTGGTGGCAAAGGAAAGCGGGAAATTCCATCATGCAAAATGCATGGTTAAGATATCCTGAATTCCTTAGTGTACTCTTACCTAAGACCCAGAAGTGTTTGAAGGAAGGAAGAAAATTAAGTATGGAAAAACAACAAAAGAACTGTTTTAAAACTACATGCACAGATCTGATTATTTATTTAGTTTGTTTAAAGCAGTTTCACTTTTGGAGCCCTTAGGACTCTGTGAATGCTTCCACTCCAGCATTCCTCAAAGTGGGGTACACATGCAATTTTCCTGTAATGCTGACGTTTTGAGGGAAGAGAGCTCTTGTGGTCGTGTAGACTTGGAAAGCAAGTGGAGTATGTCAGTTCTGCAAAACTAGCAAATAGAAGCTAGAAGATGTCCTTGCTGTAGAGAGTTTCACAGGCAGAATTACTGTGTCAGAGGAACCGAGCAATGGTAACCCTGCCGAATGTACAAGGAAGCTGTTCTGTAAACTTAAGGATTTTTCTCCACTTCCCTTTATGTATAATGTCTGGAAATAGGAGATATGTCAAGGATATCTATAAGGATTCCCACTTTGTGTTTACACCTGGTCCGTGCTCGTCATTCCTTTGGTATGACTGCAGTGATGACAGCCCTAATGTAGTGCTGTCGCTCTTAGAAGTGTGTTAGTTATGTCTTTATGTTTAGATGATAAAATAGGAATTCCTTGAATTTCATTACACTTACTGTAGGTGTTATGTTTAAAAGGTATGAATATGTCATAGAAATGTTTGTTTTTTTTTTTTTAATAAAACGAAAAGTGTAAATTTGACCACTGTACTTTTTATATGTTTTCAAAAAAAAGCCTGTAAATCTTTATAGACTTTTACTCCTAGAATTATTTTGGGGCTTTCTGTCTTGTGTACATTTCTGGTTTGTTTTGTTTGTCTTAAAATCGTACAATATATGCTTACAGAACCCCAGTATACTTAAATGCCTTAGAGTTCTGTGGGTGAGATGCAGAAGAGTATTATGCATACCAGAATAAAAACGGACTTGGGGGCTGTACAAATTCCTGGAGGGAAAGATCCCGAAGAGCTACTTGAATTCAAAGATCTTTGACTCAGAATGTCCACTGTATATGGAGTCTAGAAGCTAGAACTGTATGGTAAAGAAAGTATGTTTATTCAGTTATATACTTCAACCAGCCATTCTCTGCTGGCTGCTGTCTAGGTCAGGACAGTGAATTTTACGGATCTTTATTTTGTGTCAGTGCAGTTGTCCTTATGCACTGTCACAATGGAGAC